AGCAGGAAGATTTTGAATGCGACCTCACACGGAACCAGATAAAAAACAATTTCTCTTGTGAGTTTTCTAACTGTTCCACAAAGCAGTTGTCTTCTAATTTTTAGTCTCGGCATCATGTGTAAGTATAATATGTACCCACTCCATTGAAAAGTACCTGAAGCCTCTCATCATTGCTATAGTTTCTGCTCTTGAAGCACAGCCAGTCTCCTCCAGTACCTGCTGTTACCATTCCAAAAAACTCAGGCCTTCTCACATCAAAAGAACCACAAGTTACTGCTGTGCAGGGCTCCCATCCATTCCCCAAGACAACAATTTTCACTGATCAAAGGATATCGTCCATCTCTGTTCAATCTCTATTGATTGAGCAAGCTAGAACGATGATTTTTTCTGGTTGTGCAATATTCCTCAACCCTGTTCGTGTATACCCAAACCTCAGACTATGGAGTTAAGACAAAAAAGGCTTAGACTGCTTGAGATCATACTTCACAGGATCACCCCTACAGCAAAAAAACAATTAACAGGTTCCAAGTAAATAGAAAAAGGGAACTAATTAAGCTTTTGCCACTACCAAAATGAATAATGGCTGTTCTAAATGAAGACAAATTAACTGGACTTAGGCAATTCTAATCAAAAAGTGAAAACTATAAAAAGTTACAAGTGGAAAATAATATCACAGAAGAGCAGTAGAAACACAACTAATTCAATCAATTGTATTCTCCAGTCCAACTGCAAATAGTTTCATTGTTTAACACAGTAGAATTTGAATTAGGACACTCAAGTAATTATAGAATCAGGAATAAGCAATTCTCTTTTAAAGGTTCAAAAATCAGAACAAAGCCATTTAATTATCAAGGCAGAATAATACGGCTGGAACTAACAGCAGCTAACCACAGAGAAGCTGCAGCTTCCAGGAAATAATGACATGGCTGGAAGTAAAGAAAGCAACTCCCAGGATGTAGTTTCATAATTTATGTGAGTGTAGGAAAATTTCACTAGACGCAGTAAGTAAAAATTAGCACGTGACCAACATAAGCAAGAGTTCCACTACTATCCATGTGCACCCACAGCTGTGTGTCTACCCATGAGCCAATTTGTAGGAAACTACCCCATCCCACAAAACAGCCTTCTGCATCTTGAGCAGCCTGAATGGACTTGCTGAAGAGTGCAACACACACCAGATTCAGAGCAAGAAAGGCTGCAAAATTTGCAGCTGGGACAGGAGCACACTTGCAGTATCTGCAACTCATCAACTCAATAGAGCTTACAAGTACAGTGTGAGTTGGGGCTGCTGCAGTTGCCCATTACCATCCTTGTACTGGCACTCATGCACACGCACATTACACCAAATTGAGAGATACGATTAAACCAGAAATTAAACTTCCTAACAGAAAGTAATTTTTCATACAAATGAGCTCACTTTATTACTGTGTGCTAGCAATTGTTCTGTGACAGAGGTGTGAAAACATTTTTAAACCCTGGTAATTATATAGACATGGTAGCAATTTCTTTCTGATCCATCTGTCACAAAAGACTAACTTCTTATAAAAAGGATAACAGAAGTGAGGCCAAGACTCTTGCAGGTAAAGATGCCAAGTGCAAAATTAGACAAGGAAAGTTATCTGAACTGTGAGTGTATGCACTATAATCTAACAAAGCTTGTTACGAAAGATCCAGTCTGTAACAACTTCAAACCTGCTATAAAAAGACTGATTTTAGTGGTCTTCAATCTTAGATTATGCTTGCCTTTTCATTTTTCAGATGTGCATCCTTATCACTTAGTTTAATTTCCTTTGTCTTCTCTATACCTTTAAAAAAAGAATGGGAAACATTTCACAATATAAATGAATCTGAGAGCAGTGTACACAACCTGGGTTTCATACAGTGTTATGTTACTGACAGTTACCAAACCTAAAACAATTGCAATAAATTTTTCTATGACAATAATTTTCCTCAAATTAATATCATTCATGCTTAAAATGGCCCTGCAAGTATCCATATGCAAAAGTGTGCTCTGTCCCCATGATGAAAAAAATAATTCAAATTTGCTACGAAGCAGACATTTTCCCACCACATTCAGAATAGCCATTGCTATAATACTATAAATATGCATATTTCTTTCTTTCAAGAAGACTTTCCATCTTGGTCAAAGTAAAGCTGGGGGCATGGGCAAGAAAAAAAAAACAAACCAAAACACCAAAACAAATAATAAAATTAAATTAAAAACAAACAAAAAACACCCCAAAAAACTCAATCCACTTCACAGTTTAACTGTTTTCTTGGTATAAGACAGTATTACTCCACAGTATTTTTCTTCAGTAAAACACTATTTGCATATACTTCTTTAGTATATCATGCCCTACAGAGAACAGGCCATGCTTTGTCTGCAGAATAATTGTTCCGAATTGTTCATCCTCGCAACAGAACAGGTATTGTAAGACCAGACAACAGAGAGCAAGGAGAATTCAAAGCTATCAGGCCGACAGAAAGGTAAGGCAATAAGAAGCACCACAAGAAGCAGGAGGGCTCTTGGTGCTAGGCCTAAGACAGAGCCCTGTGTGACAGCACAGCTGTCAGCTTGGGTCCACCACAGAAAGCACACAGATACTGCAGTTTAAGGAAAGCTTTGTAAATGCACCTCAGGACGTGCCTGATCTTTTCTGCTCTCAACACTGCCCACTAGCCCCAAAAAGAGGAGAAGCAAGCGAAGGCTGGAATAAGAGACAAGCTGGCAATGATTACAAACTCAGTAGGAAGAGGAACAGGCAAAAAGTGAACTCTACTGTAAAGTGTAAGTCTCTCCAGGATTCACAATTAGTTAGGATTCCTTTATCTCTGGATTCTTTTACTGCCCAGCCAAAAGACACCTCAAGGGCAAAATATATTTTTTTCCTCTTCTAACTGCTGGTCCATATTGAGTACAACACTCCACTGCTGTTTTCAGCTACAAACTTTGCAGTACCAGCAGTAAGACAAGTTCTGAATCTAACGTGCTGATGACCAATGTCAAACAAACCATAAGGGGATCTATTTCTATTTACTGAAGCTGTTTCAAAAAGTTGCCGAGGCAAACGAAGACCCTATAATTAAATAACGAAAAACATTTTCAAAGACTAACTAGCTTAGCCTCCAGAAGAAACTAAGCTTATTACTTTGCAGTATCATGTTGTCATGGAAAACCAGGATATACATGGAGATTCATATTGGTATAATCAGTTCTTTATCTCCAGCTCAGACTTCTAATCTGAGCTGTTAGAATAGCAAATCTGGCATAACTGTATTTGTGGCTTCAAACATTTTAGGTTTGGTTTTCTTGACACTTACTACAAGGATAAAATTTTAATTTTGATTAATTAATAAAGATAGTAACTGAATTTACATTTGACACTTTCGATTATTTCACAGCTAGACACTTTTTCTTGACAAATCCACCCTCCACAGAAGATGGGAATCCGTTTCTCTCTGCCAGCACGGAGAACTCAGTGTAACAGGCAGCTAAAGAGCTATGCAACCTCGAATTTCTGGTTTATGAAAAAGTATCACTAGATGGCAGTAGAAACTCATCCTTGCCTTCAAACTCCTTAAGGCTAGATGGAACCATTACAAGCTCTACTGCCAAGACAACCACAGAATTTCACCTGCTAGTTAACATCGCAGATATTTGTCCTATTTTAGCCCAGTATTTACCTTCTGAAGACAAACAGATTTTCCAGTAAGTAGTATTTATTCTTGGAAGATCAATAAAAATACAGTTCAATACAGTTTGAAACACACCAACATGACAGGTTTGGGGGGTTGGTTTGGTTTGTTGCCTTGTTTTTGTTTTGCTTTGTTATTTGGTTTGGTGTTTTTCAGCTGTCTGGTTGTTGTTTTTTGGGGTTTTTTTGTTGGGTTTTTTTTGTTTGTTTGGGGTTCTTAGTTGGGTTTTTTTGGTTGTTTGTTTGTTTTTAGGGGAGGCAAACTTTTCCTTTGTCCAGATCCACCCTGGTATCAGCTAGAGCTATATATACAGACAATTTCCTAAAAGCAACTCAAGTAAATTTGTTCTTAAGCCTGTACACTAGAAACAATTGTGGGTTATTACTTCATGGAAAACACGAGCAAGAGAAGCTAGTCACGTGACTTGCTGCCACCAAACGCTTACACTGTTCTTTCACTTCCCAGTGAATAAGGATTTGGTACCGACGAGTAAAAGAACAGCATAAGCTCATTCAGCTAAAGACACCAGACACCTTCATGGTGGTTTTAAAAGAGAGAATCTGCACGTTTACAGCTTGACAGGGAGTGAATGGATCAAGCACAGACAACATAACACAATATAGGTATCACACAGAACAGAGAGTTCTCAAGTCTAAGACAAAAAACATTACACAGGAAAATTAAGGAAGGGAAAATGACAAGGTAGTAAGAGAAGTAGAACAATTAAATTGAGGCTGAAGAGAGATCCAATTTGCTTTATAGTTACCTGGGTTTTGGTCCAAATGTACCATTTTAAAAAGAATCTTTCTTTAAATGTGTATGACAGATTTACACAGCAATTAACTACTACCCTTCTCACTGCTACACCACTAGGCTCCACTGATCCAATACTTTCCTGCTGAAGAGCCTCAACTGTTACTTATGTAAAACCGGGGCTGCAACAAACACCACGTATACAAGAACAAGTGCCAGATTTAAATGCCATCGACCAGGTAATGTTCCAGGATCTAGTACTTGGGAGAAAACAGACAACTGAAATTGAGCAAAAATCTTATCTACTACTTCTTTCCAGAGCTACAAAACCAGTAAACTATGAAATACACAATTAATAAAAAATTCCATCCTGCAAAACCTCCCTTTTTCCACAACATTCTGATTAAGATTTGCTCAACGGAGTCAAAGATCTGCTGAGGCACTTTTAACATTGCCTCATTTGCTCTACCACTGGGACTTCTACTCACTCATCCCCCTAGAATTTCACAAGGAGCAAATTGCTAATGAACATGTGCTTAAAGGACAGACACGAGTCTGGAGTTGACAGATCTTCTGGCAAGCTCCCAGTACCTCTAGTGATCTTTAAATATCCAGTCCAGAGCCAAGTTAATGCATACACTTAATTTGAGTATTAGTTAATTAACAGTTTGAAATCCTCATCTACTTCGTTACTGCATAGCGGGAAGAAAAGAAAAAAAATAACGGAATTAAGGGTACTGGTAACATCCTAGTTCCTTGCACTCACATAGCGTTACTTAATCAGCAAAGTCCCAGCAAATATCAGTTACACCTTAACTCCTTTTCTAAATCTAGACGCCTAAACTCATCTTTTTTTCTTTTTAAATAGGGACAAGAGGTTTGATATTGTTTTGTTTGTTTTGGTTTCAGTTTTTCAAGTGAAAATAGAAACACTTAAATAGGCTAAAATTTACTCACTTTGGTTACTCTTTCTGCTAGACTGAACTCCTCCTACAGGAACAGACTGCAAAGCTGTCATAATTCTCTGAGCAGTATCAGATAAAGGCACTTTAGAAATATCACATCCTATGTATGATGTGCACTGTTCCATTTCTAAGATTAAACCTAGACACAGAACACACAAATCATGCATTATAATCAAGGCCAGAGAACAATCTGCACTTACATTCTTTTGAAATTAAAGACAAAATATAGTGAACACGTTCACCCATCCATTCTCAACAGAAAATGACATTTCCTCCCTGACACACCTATCAGTTTCCAAATATTGTAAATAAAAATTATCAAATTGTAAAAATGTACAAAACACACTAAATGAAACTTATTTGAAAGTGTTTTAATATACTGATAGAAAAAATTAAGCAGTCCTATTAAGAAAAGCTAATTCTAATTTAAAAATCTGATAAAATATAGAATTATCATTTATGTCTGCAATACCTCCTTCTTTCTCAACAGCTTTAAACTTCTCTATATCTAGTGTATGCATACATTTACTATTATTGGTGCTTGGATTTTATCAAGGAAAACCTTTCAAGTGCAAGATGAAAGAAACAAGTATTATTATAATGATATACAAACATTAGTGATGTGTTATTTCAGCGAATACTTATCATAAAAGACCTCTGTTCCTTAAACTTTGTATAATTGAGTACTCAATTACTATTAAATATTAATAACATTAAAATATTTACTGTAGTTTGCCAATTTGAGAAACAAGTCAGCAACATCTGAAGTCTATACAAGTTTTGACTGCGGCTACTGTTGCTTTAAGTTTTGTTCTTTTTGGATAAGCAGCTGCTTTTTCAGTTGACCTGTACCCATATTCTAGAATATATACAAAATAATTTGCTCCCAAGTAGAGAAACAAAGGTGTTCATACTGATGGTTTTGTTGACTTTATATAGTTAGACCAGAACAATGCATAAAACTTACCACAAACATACGATAAACGTCCAACATTTTCAAAATACTTAAGGCATTCAAGTTGTGCAAGTCAATCACTCTACCAGACTCTGCTGTTAAATTATTCCCATACAATAACCAGAGTCCCTGGTCTTTTCCCACTAGATCCAGTGCATAAGTCTTGACTTTCAAGTCAAGTTCGACCATCAAGTAAATACTTCCTCTGCTTATATGAAAACATATTTTTAGCTCAAGACCATTCACAGAGTGCAAGTCTGAATACTTACAAGTACAAACATTGGTAGCCAGATTCAAAGAAGAAGATCCATCAGCCTACATTACTATTGGCTTTACCTATCTAGCTCAAATTTTACAGTAAGCATGCAAAAGGGAGAGAGGCAGGATGGCAGAATGGCTTTCTTTTCCCTGACATTCCAGGAATCAGAAGTATAATCTTTCCCCACGCACAACTCCTCCTAACTTCTATAATTAAGAGTAATGCTTCTTTCCTACACAAGGTAAAAATGCACCTTGACTTCTCAGGGTAAGAAGCAGCAGGTTTAAAGCCTCAGGGGCATATCAAAATGAGAACCTAGTAGACTAAACATAAACCAGACATTACACATGAGAAAGTCTAAAACCAACACAAAGAATCACCATAAATACTGACAACACAAAACTGAATTTGTAGTGTTTTGGCATTTAATAATAAACACAAGACACAGAGTTAAGCAGCACGAAATCCAGATACGAAGACATCCAACAAGTTTAAAAAAATAAACATTTAAAAATAAGTTATACTTAAATAAAAGTGCGCCATCAAAAGTTTTAACACTAGTTACTGAAGGTACTAATTTACTAACCTTCATCAATATGTACAATGCTTGAAAGCAAGCACAGTTGATCCCATCAAAATATAAAAGACTGGAAGTTATCGTACTATAAAAGCCTATTTAGTTCCATTGATATAACTACATACAAATTTGATAAACAGTCTAACAATGCACATGAAAGCAGAAGTATAAAAGCATCAGGATTCTGAATAGAAATGCTTGTAAGTCCAAAAGGTAAATTAAAAATTCTTTTTCTTGGAAGAGCCCAGTATGATTATGAACTTGTTTCAATGGAAAAGATAGGCCATAATTTAAATTAAAAGACATTGGAATGCTCTTAAAACAGATAGACTTGGTACTTCAAACAGATTCTGGTATATATTCTAACACATTTCTAACAAAATCAAATCTTCTTAGAACTGCAAGGGAAACAATCACCGAGTATCAGCCTTGGAGAACTCTCCTCTTCAGAAGCACATCACATTCATGTTCCAAAACCTGGAATGCCTTCTCCACATTTATTTTTCAGCCTTCACCTTATCAAAGGTTCTTAGCATGCAAGAAAACTTATCTCAAGGTTATGAAATGTTCCTTTTTGTGCTATGCTGCGTGCAGGGGAAACCAATATACAGGCAAGCAGAAGAGCAGCCTGAATGTAAGTCATTCAAATAACGAATGTATTAGTTGGCATCAAAGAACTTTGACAAAACTGAGATTCAAACTTGAGTGGGCAGATGTTGAAAGCCCCAAATCAGCATACAATCCAAACCTGGTAATCGCAGCAGCTAAACATACATTGTAACGATAGAAAAGTGTTAGCCTTGATAAGCTAATACTTATCATTCCATAAACTTGTAGACAGTTTACATTAACATGCTTTCTCTTCTTAAGAGTACATTGAAGTTCAAACATTAAGAACTCCACTGGAGGTGAAATTCTAATCTTCCAGAACCCTGGCTTTAGCCTCAGCCTGCTGCTCAAGCTTCTCCACCATCTCTTTCAAGTTGTCTTCGTTTTCATAAAAATGCACATACAAGTTTCTTTCCATCTGATGTAGTTCATTTGACTCCAGAAAGTTCCTCTTTGACTTCACGTCAGCAATCAAATCCATAAGAAGCTGATTTAGTTTATTTAAATCATCTTCCAGTTGATGAAACTGCTCAGTAAGTTCCTAAAAAAAATACAAGACAAAAAAATATTTTTATATTGTTAATACACCAGCTGAACTAGAAATAAAACAGCTTTTTGCTTTTGGAAGCTACTTTTCATTTGTAAGTGAAAAGTCATCACAAAAAATAGAAATATCTGATGATAAGGGACTCCATTCAATTTATGTAACTTTTGAGCTCCCTGTAACAGTACTCGCATCAGGTTATGAAAATATAATTTCATTTAATTTTTACTAAATCAGATGAGTAAAGACTTTAAGAATCTGGCCTTCAATTACATAGGTAGTGGAATGAAATTTTCCATCAATTACAAGTCTTCATAGCTAGTCAAATCTTAAAAGGAAACAAAAAAAACCTCGTAACAAAAAAAAAACTAATTTAGAAATCAAATCATTAATTACCAGCTAGTTTTCCCAACTGTCATTCTTATGATAGTCCAGTGTAAGCAGGCAAGTCATCTACTTGCAGATTTTTTTTTTCTTATTAACAGAATTACTTTTCTTGAAAAACAGTAGTAATAGAAAGAGATGTCACTATGTTTTAAGAGGTAGCTTGAATCAATAGAAAGGTATTTGATTTAATAACATGTAATCCCTAAATATGAATTGTCCCAATTAAAGTTGTTTGGTATTTTTAATAAAAATTTATATATGCTGCAAATTCATTTGACAGATGGAAGCGTTAAATACATTTTCATTTAACCAAGGATGTATTATGTAACAGAAGGCTTCCCTTGATCTACTTTTGAGATATCTCCAATTATTTAAAAGTTGTAACAAGTTGCATTTAGCAACCCCTATTCCCATTTAAAAGAGGCTCTAAGCACAACTGTAGCTCTGTTGTAGGATTGTCCTACTACAACTGTCCTTCAAAATTCTGATATGCTTAATTTACCAAAGTGAGTCACCCATGGCAAGGCTTTTTAGGAGACCAAACCATACTATTCGGGCATTACAGGTAACGGGGCGGGGGGGGAGGGAAACCTGTCTGGAATAAAGCGAAATTTAAGCAAATTTTCCAATGACATTTCCCACACCATAAATTTACAAGTAATACAGGACTGTATATGCCTTTGAAAGAAATTAAAAGTTAGATTCAGCGATTTACTCAGAAACAAGAAATTATTATCTGCCAACATTTACAAAACCTAACATTTTCTAAGAAAAATACAAATTCTGAGCCCATGATCATTATGCTAATAAATTTGTTGCTGACATGTGGAAGCCAGTTTGTGTGTCACCTTCATACATTTTTCTCAGTAAAAGAATATGATGTACAGGAATGTAATAATTTTACTAACGAGATAAGGGCTTACCTGACTACTGAGTTTTATCCGATTTCCTCCATGATACAGAGCATCATGCAGGGTATCTACATCACTTTGTAGCTTGGACAAAAAGAGAGACTGTTCTTGAGAAGATGCTGCTAGCTGATCTTGTACTGTAACACAGTCCTGCTTTAACTTCTGAGCCATGTGCTCCAGGCTTTCATATGTTTTAAACGATTGCTGGTTTTCCTTTTCTCCTTCCAGAAGCTCATACAGCCTGTATAAATAAAGTTATACACACAAGCATTTTTAAGTTTCCTAAGCACTCCTGTCATTATTAGTAAAGAAAACATGTTAATGTTGAGAAGTCAGAGGACTTGTGAATGACGGTACTGCTCGGGGTACTCTTACTACACTGCTGCATCTCCCACTGATTTAATGATTCTATCTACATATAGCTAGTATATTATTAATAGGATTCCAAAATATTTAAATATTAAATTAACAGCAATGAAATACCAAAGTAACAGTTAATAAGCACACAGTGAATGCAAATAGAAGCTGACAATGCTTTTGCCAACTATTTCCTCACACTTCAAGGACAGCAAAGAAAGGTCCATTTTTTTTTTTTAGTGTTAAAAATTAGCAGACTTCAGTGGCTGATTAGAAATAAAAGAAATCTTTATAATGTTTTCAAGTTCACTGGAATATTTCCCATTTTCTATGAAATGACTGCTAAAAGTTCTCCAGTTAGTTACAAGTCATACAAAAGACAGCAATACTTGCTGTACTAAACTGTACCCTTAACACCACATAAGGAGGAGTCTAATGTAATTACAAATAGCTTTGCTTGCTTGTTACTATCACTTCTGTCTATTAGTACCTTCAAGAGTCGAGCCCCAATATAGAATCAGATTGGTTTTATTAAGAGCAGAAGCTACATTTCAGAAGTAACTGAGTTTCTTTCAAGCATCTTCTGCTTACGAATCTTTTAGGGTTTTTAACTTTTTCAACTTTCCTTCACAACCATGAATACTAACACATATCTTTACAAAAAAAGTCAAAAACTAGCCAGACAACATTCTGATTCAGTGATTTGGAGACTTAATAATAAACCTGAACAAAAAAGTTATGAGTTGCCAAAGCAAACACACAATGGAAGCAAAATTAATGCTGCCCAATTCTTGCAGCTATTCACTGTGCAAGATCATACTCAGTTATCACCTAACAATTATATAAAAACACTTAAAGCACCATTTTACAGAAGGAGAAAAAGTCTGATGTTAACATTCCTATAATTATACAACACACCTCACCAAAAGGCTTATAGTCTTGAAGTGACAGCAACACTACACACATCCCTACTGTATCATGAGAGGTACACGGAGACTTAATTACTTAGTGAAAGAACAGACTCCTACAGGGGTGACAGGACACTGAAGCCAGACAGCAAATCAAGCTGTAAAAATGAGCTGAGCACATTTCAAGTATGCAGGGAGTCCTTCCTCTCCTCTGCCACATGGGGGTTTTGCAGGGTCACACATATGACCTGGCAAATCACTGCTATTAACAGCTCTCTACAACTATAGTTCTAAAAACTTTCAAGAGGTCTGAGATCAGGGCACCATATAAGACAGGCCTGGCTTTAAACATTCATCATATTCTGTATATTGCTTCAGCAATATTAATAGGACTGATAATTTAACAGGTTTTCCTCAAGCGAGCCTGAAAAGAATTTGAAGGATAAGCAAAAGGCAAATCTCATCTTAAAGTCTTCAGTTCTGGAGAATCCAAAATACTAATTAGCTATAGTTCTAAGTAGCTAAAAACTTCACAATAGAAAAGGCTTAGCTTGCCTAAGCCTTTTTCTCCCCAATATTATTTCAAAGTAATTCAAAGTTCAGCAGTGACCATAATGCTTACCTGCATGAGAAACCATCCTCTGAACTAATAGTGTTTCTTGGCTTTGCATGCTGAGTTTGCTCTGTTATCACCAGTAGTCTCTGTTGCAACTCCTTAGTCCTCCGTTTCAGAGATTCTACCAAATTCTCGAGTTGACGGCAAATCTCCTTATGTTTCTTCAACTCCATTTCACAGGCTAGCTCAATAAGTTCAAACGATGCTTTCTGTCTTATCAAATGCCTGCATATTTCATCTTGTCTTGAAGCATAAGAGTCCTGCTGAGCAATCTGACAATCCAAGTGTCCTTTCACCAGTGGAGTGCTCAAAAGTCGTGCTTTCTCTTTCAGAAGGGGAAGCAGCTCTTCATCATTTATCCGAGACATTTCTTGTTTAATTGCTGAAATTTCATCATTTAAAGTAGGTATTTTGGCACAGAGGTTTTGTTTTCCAATATCCTGCATAAAGCAAAATATTTGTCAATTTGTTCATGTTCCTACATTACATTAAAATCACTGCCTATTTTGTAGATACTAAATCAAATGAAAACTCCACAAGCAGTTTTAGACCTTTACAACATAAGGCAAATACAGACTTAAAAAGCAGATATCAAATAAATGCATTTCAATAAATAGTAATTTCATTCTATTGCAGGGCCAGGAAACAGTTTATTATGGAACCAACAGAAGATCTGTATTTTACTTAGCACCCAGATTTCTAGCATGTCTAACTGAACTCTCACATGCACACAATTTTTTATATTCAGTGGGATAACTATCAACACTGCTATCAGAATCAATCTTTTTCAAATTACTCTAATCAATCAAGCCCTATATGCTATGGCATAAGCTACAATTTCTCCTTCTATTACGATTTCTTCACATTCTTAAACTCCAGTAGTTGTATCTATGTGTCACTCACTTGTTGAGAGATTTCTGGGGCTTCAACTATCTGATCCATTTGGTATTTAAAACACATCACCATAATGTCACCAGATTACAAGTATTTGAGTTTAAGAAGAGTCAGTGAACTAAAACTTCAAGTTTATGCAATGGAATATGAACAGGAATACATTTATCATATTAGCTACTCAATACCACAAAATTTCAAAGAAAATTAAGCTTTTGTTTATTGTATAAAAAACTGAAAGCCAGCTATAATGTGCAGTTTCAAAGTTAAACTAAACTGGGAAAGTACTACTGAATTCTACATTTCTTACGGTAGTAATTCTAGAAAGTAGAACTAAAGGTACTCTGCCATTCTGATGAATTTCTAACTATAGAAACTGGAGCTATTTCACAAGAGTTTTGTGAGCACGACTAGAACTTCATAAAAGTACACTTTTACTATGTAAAAAAATAGTTGAAATAACAGTAACTCGCAATTCCTTTTACTAGATCCAGTTGAACACACTTGCCTGTTTAAAACACCACTAACTTCCAGCACCTTTTGCAGCTTACCTTGTTGTTTAAGGACTGCAGCATGCACTCTGCACATTTTATAGCTGAATTAATGCTCTCTTCTTTAGCTTGTGTCTGAATTAGCTGTCGTTGAGCACAAACATACGCTGTCTGCAGCCTGGCCATCTCTCGATTCTCTTCACAAACTTCATTAGTCTCATCGGATGCGACTTGTTCACTTATATCAGCCAGCTGAAAGCTGTCTTCATGTGACTTTTCAACCCCTCGAGACATACCTTGATAAAAATGGGTTTTTATGTACGAGTTAAGTGCTGCAGTGCTTTGTTCTTCCTGAGACAAGTACTTGTCCAAAGAAAGCTGGGAAAAAAACACTGGATTTTGACCTGACCCCTGCTCTGAATCTGATGCAGTGAAGAAAGAGGCCAATTTCTTAGCTGCATCTATAAGAGACTGCAGGTCATTATTAAGCTGGTTATTTGCTGCAGTAAAGACCTGCAGTCCTTCCTTCAGATCTTTATGTGCTTCTTCCTCTTTGCTTTTAACCGTTTGTAACATATGGCTGTTTGAGGCAACCATCATTTGAAGCTTATTATGTCGATGAAGCTGAAGTTTTTTTAACTTCTGAAGAATTTGAAGCTCATCCTCTAATTTCTTCAGTTCCTCCTCTTCCTTTTCTTGGCTACCATTCTGTGAATCCAGGGGCTTCAAGGTTTCAAGGACTTCATCAAGTGCATTTCCTTCCAAAATGGGCTTCCCAGACTCAAGAAGATTATCAAAATCTTGCAGTTCTTTGTCAGATACCACATACTGCTCATTTACATTTCCACAAAACCACTCCAGAAACGATCTGCCTTCTGAAGACTCAAACAGCCAGTCAAAATCTTCTCCATTAAGCTCATCAGCTTTTGGATATCCAATTTTCTTAAGCGCTTCCACAAAATCATTTCCACAGCTCATGATGAAAATATTTTTTCTTAGTAGAAAAGATCCAGATACATCAAAAAAACTGGGGTATCATTCCAGCTGTCATTTTAATTGACTATTCAGTATTTTAATTTAAAAAAAAAAAAAAGAGTCTGCACAGGAAAAAGGAAATGTCAGTGTCTTCTGTCACACCAGAAAACTAAATGCTATTCTGGATTAGAGTGTCTATTCAAAGACTAGACGCCAACTTTTATTTCAGGGAAGTTCCAATATATTTTGTTCATCAAATCAAGACACCTATTTTTACATCAGTTAAATCCCTGGTCTTTGCAAACATTTACATTTTTCCTTAACTCACATTAATTTACTATTAAAACAGAATGCTAACATTAATTTAAAAGCAACAGGTGTAAATATTGAGTAATTCATTGGCCAGCAAAAGTGATTTACTTATTTTCTTCACACTACATAAAAAATACACTCAAAATCATTTTAACTATTCCAAATTAAGACAAAATGTTCTAAAAACAAAACTACAGTGATCTTACACTGCGCTGCAAGATTTTGCTTACAAAGATTTTTTTTTTATTTAATCAGCAAGCAGAATCTTGTCTTCTAAACCTGCATTTTAAAGTTTCCTCTGAAAATTGAACAAGAAATCCTTTAACATAAAAGTATTTCAACATATTAATACAGGTTTTTTATCAATTATAAAAAAACCTAGAATTAGCTTAAGATCAGTGTCAATGCTCTCGTGAAAATACTCACAACTGAAAAAAATTACAAGAAAAAGGAGTTTGCTGTTTTGTCATCTCCCAGGAAATAAATCGCCAGTTTTGGGATCCTACAGCGGGCACAACAGACAGCAAAAACCAGGACACATTATCAAGAAAGGCAGAAGGCCACGTCTGCAACGCTCTGGTAATATGCAGGGTTCGTTTTTTTTAGTTTAGTATTACTTAACACTTTGTCTCTAGAACGTACCTTCTAACGGCCTTCTAACTGCCCTCTGCCTTTTATGCTAAAAAGGCCTGTCGTCAAAATAAACAAACAGAAAGGGGAGCACATAGCTTTCTGTGCGTGTGCAGATCATTAAGGCACGCAGATACTGCCGCTCAAGCTGCCATCAAACACCAGAAGTAACATCTCAGGGCCCCTAAGGAAGCTACCCACGATCCCGTCCCCAGTACGGGGACGCCCAATCGCCACAGCCAGCTCAGCCTGCACAAGCAGGCCCCTCTGGGGCTTCCTCCCAGCCCAAAGGTCCGCCGGCCAAGTCCCAGCTCTGGGACAGCTGCTGTCTACAGCCCCAAGAGGAGCTCGGCTAAGAGCCAACCCCGAGTAGGACAGGGCAGAACGAGGAGACGGAGGGAAGAGAGGACGAGGGAACGAGAGACGGCTGTCCCCATCCCGGTGCGAGCGAGCCCCGGCCCCGCACCCCCGATACTCACCACAGCGCTCCCCCTCAGCGACTGCACGGAGGGGAGGGGGGAGAGGAGGAAAATGGCGGAAAATGGCGGGAAGGCTGAGGGAACGCGTCCCCGCCCCGGGCAC